TTCACGTCCCCTCGTTCTCCCGGAACTTGGTGGGCGTGCGACCCCTCGTGAGTCAGCACGTGGGTGTGTGGTTTGAGCCTTCTGGAGAGACTGCGGTGTGTGTTGACGGGGACTCTTACCAGCCCCTCGCCACTTTTGCTGCTGAGCCGGGCTCCGGTCTCTACACTCTTCACACTGGCCCGCGCGCTCAGCAGCGACTGCAGCAGCAGCAGCAGCCGCAGCAGCAGCAGCAGCAGCAGCAGCCGCAGCAGCAGCAGCGGCAGCAGCCGCAGCCGCAGCCACAGCGGCCGCCGTCGCAGCAGCCACTCCTCCCAGTTCCTGTCCCTCCCCCTAGTCTCCTCCCTGCGTCTCACCAGGTGGTTCCGTCCCCTCAGGTTGTCGCGTCCAGTCCAGTCGCTGCGTCTTGCTCCTGTCGGTCACTTGCCCACCCCACCGTTCTGTGGCACCACCGGATGGGACACCCTTCTCTTCCACGTCTGCGTGCTATGTCTAGTCAGCGTCTGGTCTTAGGTCTCCCGCGTGTCTTGCCGTCGCTGCCGCCGTCCCTTGCACCACCGTGCGGTCCTTGCGTCGAGGGTAGGCTGCGTGCCACCCCTCACTCCTCCTCCCTTCGTCCGGCCACCGAGCCTTTTGAGACGCTGCACTTGGACGTCTGGGGCCCCTCTCCTCGCCCTGGCCCTGAGCGTGAGCGTTTCTTTTTGGTGGTCGTTGACGACTACTCCCGCTACACCACAGTGTTCCCCCTGGCGAGGAAGTCTGAGGTGACTTCTACGCTGATCAGGTGGTTGCTTACCACCCAGGACACTCGTGGTCGTCGTGTCAGCTGTCTCCACTCCGACCGCGGGGGCGAGTTTCGCTCCGGCATTCTCGCTGGATTCTGTCGCGAACAGGGCATTCGTCAGTCCTGGACGCTTCCGGAGTCCCCACAGCAGAATGGGGTTGCTGAGCGTCGCATAGGCCTGGTCATGGAGATTGCCCGCACCTCCTTGACTCACGCCCGTGCCCCCCATTTCCTGTGGCCATACGCAGTCAGGTACGCCGCGCACCAGCTGAACCTCTGGCCACGCGTCTCTCGGCCGGAGGCTTCACCGACCAGTCTTTGGACAGGGTCCCCTGGTGTCGCGTCGAGGTTTCGTGTCTGGGGGTGCTTGGCTCTTGTCCGCGACACCTCCGCGGACAAGCTCTCGCCTCGCGCCGTTCCTTGTGTCTTCCTTGGTTTCCCTGAGGACTCCTCTGACTTCACCTTTTACCACCCTCCCTCTCACCGGTTCTTTGACTCCCGTGACGTCCGTTTCGAGGAGTCCACCCCGTACTACGTCAGGTACCCCAGTCGAGGTCTCCCGGTTCCTCCTCCCCCCCTCTTCCTGACAGCCGCTCCCCCGCCTGCTCCCCCGGTACAGCCTCCCCCCCCTGGTCCAGCCCCGTCTGGTGTGTCTCAGGCTAGCCCTCCCCCTTCGGTAGCCCCCCCTGTACAGCCTCCCTCCCCACAGTCTTCCTCGCCGCCTCCTGCAGGTGCTCCCTCTCGGGAGGTTGGTCCTGCGACTGTCCCTGTACAGGTCTCTGGTTCTGGGGGTGCTGGAGTTGGAGCTGAGCCGCGGGTTGCAGAGGACTCTTGTCTTCCGGGGGCTGGTACTGGTCGTGCGGAGTCTGGGGGTGCTGGTGCGGAGTCTGGGGGTGCTGCGTCTGGGGGTGAGGGTGTTCCTTCGGTTTCTGGAGAGCCTGGGTCTGGAGCTGGTGTTGGTGCTGCCTCTGGGGGTGGTGTGCTTGGTGCTTCGGAGGTCGACTCTGGGGCTGCCGCTGCCCCGGACACTACTCCTTCCCCCCACCCCTATCCGCTTCCTCCTCCTGACCCCTCTCCCGCTGTTTTCCCTCGTTCTCAGTCTTCGTTGTCCCCTCCTCCTTCTCAGACTTGGGCCTCTCGTCGCTCCCCTCGTGCTCGTCCCTCGTCTCCTGTTCCCTTCACTGACCTTCGTACTGCCTTACTTCGTTCTAGTCCACCTCGTCCGTCTCCGTCTGTGCTTCCGTCTCCTCCTGAGTCGGCTCTCACTGCGTCGCTCCCTACTCCTGTCACTGACTACTACCGCACGTACCGTCCTCTTCTCTCTCGTGTTCTCGCCTCACTTGTTACTCACCCTCGTGCCTCTGTGTCCTCTGTGTCCGCTCTTACTGCCGCAGTCACTGAGTTTGCCTCTACCCGCCGCCTTGACTTCGCCACCGCTCTTGTGGCTGCTCCTCCTTCCAGTCCTCTGGCCGTCGGGGGTGTGTCTGCCCTTGGCTGTGACGCCCTAGAGGACAGGCAGTTTGAGCTAGAGTTCCTGGCGGCCGCTTCCCCTCATCTCTGTGCCATGCTCCTCGCCCCTGAGGGTGACCCCGACGCCCTTGACATTCCGACTCCTCGCACTTACGCTAAGGCAGTGTCAGGGCCTTGGGCCTCTCAGTGGAGAGCTGCCATGGACGCAGAGATGGCCTCCTACAGATCCACAGGCACCTACGTCGATGAGGTTCCCCCTCCGGGGGCGAACGTAGTCGACGGCATGTGGATCTACAGGGTGAAGCGGCCACCGGGATCTCCTCCGGTCTTCAAGGCGCGCTACGTGGCTAGAGGTTTCAGTCAGCGCGAGGGAGTTGACTTCTTTCAGACCTTCGCGCCCACCCCGAAGATGACCACTCTTCGGGTGTTACTACACGTAGCAGCACAGAGAGACTACGAGTTACACTCTCTCGACTTCTCTACTGCTTTCCTTCAGGGCAGTCTTCACGAGGAGGTCTGGTTGCGTCGTCCCTCTGCCTTCACTGGCTCTTTCCCTCCTGGGACCCAGTGGAGGCTGAGGCGACCGGTTTACGGTCTTCGTCAGGCTCCTCGTGAGTGGCACGACACCCTGCGTTCTACCCTGTCTGACCTTGGGTTCCAGCCGTCTTCTGCTGACCCGTCGCTGTTCGTTCGTCGTGGCCCCACACCTTTCTTTGTTCTGGTCTACGTTGACGACCTTGTTTTCGCCACCCCTGACAGGGTTGCTTTGGCACACGTGAAGTCCGAACTGCAGAAGAGACACACCTGCACTGATCTTGGTGAGCTGCGCCACTACCTTGGCCTGCAGATCACCAGGGACAGAGCTGCTCGCACCATTACACTTTCACAGTCGCACATGGTGCAGCAGGTCCTTCAGCGGTTCGGGCTTCAGCACTCCACAGTACAGCGCACACCTCTTGCTGTTGACCACAGACTCACTGGACCCTTTCCTGACGAGCCGTTCGAGCCTAGTGGTCCCTACGCAGAGCTTGTGGGTTGCCTCATGTACCTGATGACTTGTACTCGCCCGGACCTCGCCTTCCCTCTCAGCGTTCTTGCGCGCTTTGTTGCGCCAGGGAGACACCGTCCTGTTCACTGGACAGCAGCTGTGAGGGTGGCGAAGTACCTAGCGACGACGTCAGGCGTGGGGCTAGTTCTTGGAGGGCAGCAGTCTGTCGTACTTACTGGTCACTGTGACTCCTCTTACGCTGACGACGCTGAGACTCACAGGTCTACTCAGGGGTACTGTTTTAGCCTGGGTTCTGGAGCTGTTTCCTGGCGGTCCACGCGCTCCTCTTCGGTCTCGACCTCTACAGCTGAGGCTGAGATCTACGCTGGTGCCATGGCGGCACAGGAGCTGCGTTGGTTGACCTTCTTGCTCACCGACCTTGGTGAGCGGCCGAGCTCTGCACCGACCTTGTTCACTGACAACAAGGCGTCTATTCTCCTTTGTCGAGAGCCACGACTGGAGAGCAGAGTGAAGCACATTCACGTCAGGTACTTTCTTCTGCGAGAGTTGCAGAGGCGTGGACAGGCTCGCTTTGAGTTTGTGGAGTCCGAGGCCAACACTGCAGACATCTTCACCAAGGCGCTTCCGCCTTGTGACCACCAGAGGTGCTGTGTGCAGTTAGGCCTTGTTGACACTGGTTCTCGTGTTGCTTAGACTTGAGTGTACTGTTTACTTTGCTTTCTATATATCTCTGTTACTTCTTGGACTGGCCTTGTGGCCACTGTTGTTTGTGCTCAGACTGTGTGGTGACGTTGTGATCCACCCTGAGCTTCGTTTCTTGGACTGGTCTTGTGACCGTACTCGTTTGGTTCTGCTAGACACCCCTCACTTAGGCTATGGGGGTGTGTCAAATGTTGTAGCCTATAGTGAGGTTTGTCTTAGGGGGTACAAAACTTAGGGTTAGCTATATGTACCCCAACCAACATCAATGCATCATCCATTCTTCATTTTGACAAATATATGTGTCAGGGCGAATCTTGTGGTGCGAAAAAGGCGAAAGTGCAATGTCAGGGCGATTTTGCTGTGATTGGGCGAAAATTGTGGTGCTCTGACAACTCAAAACTGTTGTGTCAGGGAGATTTTGCTATGATTGGGCGAAAATCTTGTGATGTAAATGCTCAGATTTGCTATGTCAAGGAATTTCGCTTTGGCAGTGCGAATCTGCTGTGACCCGTAAGTCCGAATCACCAGTCAAGGACGCGTTTGTACTCTGAATGATCAGAGTACACTCTCAGAAAACTCTGAACTCTCAGAGTTAGCCTTAAAAAAAGTCTGAAAATTACAGAGTTGAGGCCCAAAAAAGTCTGATTTTATCAGAGTACACAGGAAAAAAAATCTGAAATATCAGAGAAAAAAGCCCAAATCAGAGAAAAAAGTCTGACTTCTGAGGGCCTGACCCAACTAGAAGGGGGGGGTCACTATTTTAGCTGCTGGCTTTAAATGCACCACACCTCGGTACCACGGTAAATGTGACTGCCTTTCTTTACTCTATGGTCTGCGTTGGAACTTGGAAACAGCTTGCCATAACTCACTTCATATTGACTGTTTGCTTCCTCCCTCCCACCCAATCATACCGTGCTCACTGCCTGATGACAAAAAACATTCTTGACAAGCACTCACACATGTGTCGATACAGGAATGTACCCTCAATAATCACGTTGTACAGCTCACTCGAAGAAATAAACAGTGATACATCACATTCTATGATGACTCCGTCAGGGCGTCTTTGACATCCTCTGCAACATCCTCCACAAACGACTTGAGAGCTGCAAGGTCACGCTCACCCTCGTAGTGCTCGCGGAACTTGCCACCCACAAAGAGCTTCAGAGTGGGATATCCACGAATCTGCCACAAACATACAGGGGATAACAAAGAAATGGCGGTTAAGTACCTATTACCAGGACACAATCATAAAGAGTATTAAGAACAAGGTCGCCGCGTACCTCCTGCTCCTCGCAGACTTTAGTGGAGGTGGTGCAGTCTACGTGTGCAACCACCACTTCCGCCGGAGCGGAGTTAGACAGCTCCTCCCAAGTAGGAGCGAGACGCTTGCTGAAAAGGAGGAACGGAAGGTAACGCGTGAAAAAAAATCGTTTTACAACGACGAAGCCATGTGAGTTAAGTAACATTGAAATTTCAAAAGGAGACGTCTGCGGCGAAGCTTACCAGTGGCCGCACCATGGCGCGAAATATTTGACGAAATAAGCTTTGGTCTTATCCTCAAGCTGCACAGAACGATATATGAAGCATGAGCTCATCCCTGGAGAGGAGTTCGACACGCTGTCGCAACGGTCGCATTCTGGCTGACACCAATGAGAACGGTGTTCACGCTGTCGCCAAATTAGATCCTTCTCACCGTGCTCTTGTAGTTGTTGTCGTTGAGGACCAGAACGTCTGCTGTTGCTACAGAAATGGTAGCAATCAGAATGCACGCCAGAAGAGCGACATGAGCAGAACGGGACGCCATGGAGGAAACGAGGAAACGCCTGCAGAACAACGCCGAAGGGAATTGCAAATCTGAAACTGGAAATTGGAGGATTCAATTCAACCGTTCATGCATGTGATCACATCAGCCTCAACTGGTTGTGCATCGTAGGGCGCGAGCAGGTCCATTGTAAAAAGTACAGTAGATCATTACGTACAGGTTTCTGAAAGGAAACAATATGCGCGTAACAAAAATGTCGGTCAACCTTACAATGCGGATAACGTGTAGCTCAGTCTCCCACTACACACCCGAGACCAGTCCCCACCACGCCAAAGCCTTCACCCCAGCCATGGCGCCTCAGCGGATTCCACGGCGAGCTGTTCAGACTCTTATCCAGCGTTTGAGCCATACAGCACATCCATCACCCGTCGTTTCCCCTTCTTCGCTCTCACCGCACGCTAATCCGCGTAGTTTAGTTCTGTCTGGCTCCTCGTGCTCCGTTCCCCAAGCATCGGCCAGTTTTTCCGCGCTCTGTGCAAAAGCTATATCCAGGAATTTGCTCGTTCGCAGTTTGGCACATCAACATGCGGTCGCGAGACGTCCACACCGTCCACACCTGTCGTTTTCGTCAGAGGCACGCCTGGCTAGTTCCAACCCCGTTACAGATACTCAATCCGGTAATGACAGCGTCGCGACTGATCCAGATCGGCCGCAGGACGTGAAGCAGTCACAACCGCAAGATGTGAAGGAAGCTCAGGAGGATGATTTAAAACAACCTGTTTTGCCGGATCCGAAGCAAGCTGAGCCACACGATGAGAAGGAACTGCTGCAGGATCCGAAGCAAGCTCAGCCGCACGATGCGAAGAAATCGCTGCCGCTGGATCCAAAGCCAACGACGAAAGCTAGCAGTAGCTTTGGAGGGAGCCGTCGATTAGCCAAAGGCTTAGCGCGGCAGTCGGATTTGCCTGATGTTACCCAGGTATTGGACGATCTAGTCCACAGGCTTCTGGTCCTCCCAGAGAATCTAGCCAAAGATCCGATCGCATCTGGATCAACTGCGGACGACGGAACTGGTACCGTTAAAAAGGAGACTTCACCCGCTTCGCAAGAAGGACACTCAAGTCCGGAGCCTAGTGCGGGGCACACTGCACAAGCTGTCGACCGTAACAGCAGCAGTGCTACCAACAGAAGCAGCGGTAGGAGTAGCGGCGAGATGGATGCGAATACGACGGCCATGGAGAAGATCGCGTCGGAGAACGATCGATCGCTTACCGCTCTCCTGCGCTTTCTCAACTCCCTTGCCCCGCACAACGTCGAGCACCCGGCAGCCGGGACTCTGGATCTGACTTTCCACATTAGGTCTAGTGAAGAAATCCGGGAGAAAAAAGCCGAGATCAGTTCTGATCCTCAGAAAGAAGAGGGAGGAGAGTTAGCCGGTGTTGGAAAGGATGGAGTATTAGGGAAGCTGCGGAAGGTGCAGCTTAGGATAAGGACAACTGGTGGTAACTGCAAGGATTTGGTGGGGCGGCAACTATCAGCCTTCTTTCAAGGTGGGTAAAGGGGAGTAAAGGATAACATAGACAGAGAGAGAGAAGTTTTTTTGTTTCCTCATGCTGCTTCCCTAAGTTGTACCGTTTTTCTCGCTTCCCTTCTTTCCAGTCCCATTCCAGTCGCATTTCCTTTTCATCCTTACTTCCCTGATCATTCCCTTTTTTGTCGTCTTCCCCACACCCCTTTGTGTGACCCTCACCTGCGCCTTTTTGGCCTCTCCTCTATCCTTTTCCCTGTGGTGGCTTGGTTTACTGTATTCCAGACTGTGGAGTTCCCTCTGAGTTTGTGTGGCCCAAGGGTTACTGGGACCTGCTCTCTCCTGTCGCTGTCACACAGCAACTCGCGAAAGAGGACGCCAAAGCTGCTGCTGCTACAGCAGAAGTAGCCGCAATTCAGCAGCAGCAGAAGCAGGAGGAGAAAAAGAACCACCCAAGATTAGAAGCAGCGCTGGATGCAATAAACGGTGCACTAGAAGCGATAGCATCGGTACCGTGGCATGAAGCTCTGGAGGACAAAAAGCGAATAGAGGACCAGCTTTTGACAGTGCTGGTGGCTGATGGATGGAAGGTGGGAGAGAGTGTGAAGCGCATATGGGCTGGGGAAAGGGATGTGAGGAAGCTGTGTCTGGGGTTGGATGAAGGGAGTGCGAAGATGGTGGCTCGGGTGTTAGGGCATGTGAAGGGAAATGATAAGGAGCATGGGAAAATGGTGTATGTGGTGGAGGGGATGGAAGAAGAGAAGGAAGCAAAGGATGGAGTTAGTGGTGATGAGAAGGGAGGGGAGGCTGTTGGGAAAGGAGGAGGCAAGAAGGGCTCTCTTAAGATTGAAATCATTTGAGAATGATAGTTGATGGTGGATCATCATTGTCCTACACAAAATAGTGGTATCTCATCCATAAATTTGTTACGAATATAAGCTGCATCCGACGCACTTTTGTAGCATAACGAACGTGCGTTTTATCGCCCGCCGTCCGACCCTATGACGAACCATGGCATCATCACCAGCAGCCATCTACAGTGCACCTGACTCGACTCCCAACCAACCAATGACAGGGCGACCAGCCGCACCGCAGGATCATCCCAACCACTCACTCACCTTACACGAGTCACGACTGCCCATCCGATCCCTGCTCATCAACTCTTTCAGCAGCAGCAGCAGCACCACGAGCGGCACCTCGATAAATGTTTACTGTACAGTTCACGCCAGCAGGGCTTGTGGTTCAAACTTCACTTCACTCACACTTCCAATAAAGAGCTGATCACAAACCGTACTGAGGGCGCGTTTTTTTGGTGTTGAGGTTCAAAATTAAGGTCGACCTTTTGGTGGTAACCAGCTTCGTTAATTTTGTTGAAAGCTGTTTGCGATAATCGTGTTTCCAAGTGTAAAGATTGATGAAACAGAGGGACAATGAACTGGGGTCGAATTTTCACGTGCCCGTTTAGCCAAACGTGTGTTCTTCTTTTCATGCACAGTGAATCTGCGACATTCGCGATAGTAACGAACGACATCGTACCTCGTTACTTCATCCGGATTAGTTACGAGCTACGTTTTCAAATCGGGTAACCTACGAAACTGGGGCGCGACTCGGGTTTTACTGTATAAAGTCGAACTTCTGAAGTCGAACTTTGATGTGCCATGTGATTTTTGGGAGAAAAAATCGCGACTCGGGACCCAAAACTTGAGATACTCGAGTACAGGTCGACCTAGGTTCAAACGTAAAAAATCGACTAGAAAACATGAACTTTGCAATAAAATCCAAAAGACACGCGCCCTTATGACGTCCATCGATTTATGATCACGATAGTTGGCAGATCGACGAAAGTTCGCACGTGCCTTACCGCGCCTTTCCAAACACTGTAACTTTCCGCGCAGTCGCCTTTCTCGCATTCGAGCGCGTCCGGTTCGGAACCTTACGAAGGAGCGGTCTCCGTTACGAACGGGAAACAGCGGTGTCATGCAGGAATTTCTTCCTCGTATGGATAGCGTCCTGGCGTATAATGTGACTTGAAGCGCTAGTGTTTTTCTAGCTCTCGATACGCATCGCTAGTTCTATTTGCTCGATCCGTTCTCTGAAGTGAACAAGTTAACTTGTGAATCTGCATTCGGCTCTGACTTTCTCGTTACAGGAACTTTCACCTCGTGAACCTCGTTACCGCCACGCACTCTTATGGCATTTTCAGGCGCCCCAAGAACCACTCTCACGGCGTTTTCAGGGGCATAAGTAAAACACTCTCGCGGCTTTTTTTACCGCATAAAAAACCACCCTAATGACGAGCAACTCATTTCTCCGCTTCGTCCCCGCCAATCTCCCCCCGCTCATTCCTGTCCTCCTCGCCCTCACCCTACTCAATGTCGCTCAATCCCTCTCCTCCTCCTCCTCCTCCACCTTTTCTCCTTCTTCCCCCTCCTCCTCCTCTCACGCCTCCTCCTTCCCTCCTAAAGCCTCTTCTCGCCGCGTTTTAGCCAACGAGGCGCTTCTAGACCACGTGCCGGGTCATAAGAACATCCGCTCCTTAAACCGCGCGATCCGGCGGAAGCAGCTCGCGGAGCTCAGCCTCAGCTTCTTCCCGGAAAAAGGGGGAGGCGGCGCGGTATTCGGCCCCGAAGCGAAGGAGGAGGAGCTGCTAGGAGGGTGGGTGGGAGGCAGGAGGATGCGACCCAGGCACCTGGCGTGTAGAGGAGGGGACTGCCCTAATATGGAAATGTGTGGGCTGGGCATAGAAGCATGCTGGAACCCCGGTTTAGTGGATCCCGGTGTAGGAGGGCCCGGGGGAGGCGGGGGAGGGGGGAGAGAGGGCCGGGAGGCTAGAGAGGTTGAACCGGGTGGAGGGAATAGTGAGCGAGGTGTAGTTTGCCCGGTATTGCACAAAGGGAAAGTGGCTCTTAATGACATGTTCCCGCCTAATTGTACGGTTGAGCCTGAGGAGGAGGAAGAGGACGAATTTCAGCAAGATTCTCCTGGGGGAGAAGGGGGAGGGGGAGCGTCAGGGTTCGGAATGGGCGGGGGCGCGGGGGGGATGGAGTTTGGGGAGGAGGAGGCGTCTGCGGGGATGGTGGGGGCGGAGCAGGTGTTACCTGGAGCGGGCGGGTGGGCGGGGCAGGTGTTTGTGCTGCATAATGTGTTCGTGGACCCCTGGGGGTTGGTGTTTAATGCCTCGCATGTCTTCCGCGCGGGGGGGTGCCGCCCCCACTTGCGCCGCCAGAAGGTGTGCGCCGGGGGTGAGGGAGGAGGGGGAGGATGGGGGGGAAATGACGAAGGAGGGGGAGATGGGGGGGAAGGAGGGGCATGGGGTTTGGGAGAGATGGAGAGATGGAATGGAATGAGCGGGATTTGGTGGGTAGGTGGAGTTGGGGATGAGAGGAAGGAGGGGTGAGGTTTGAGGTGTGAATGGCGGATGCTCTCATTGTCCAACCCTTACTTTCTCCCCGCCCTCATTCTCTGTCCACCCACATTCTCTCCCCAATTTCTCACTCTGTCCACCCTCCCTCTCCCCTCACCCTCCCACCTTTCCACCCTCTGAGCCCGTGTATCACAGCGAATTCAGCGAGACATGCTAAAGTTCCGTCACTTCAGCCATTTCCGTCATTTACTGCTCCCTCCGCTTCCCCATCTCCCCGATTCTCCCCTCTTATGACCAATCTCTGCTCTCTCCATTTTCTCCCCGCATTCCCCTCTCCCCTTCCTCCAGTTCATGAACCCCACGGTGGCCTCCCCCTGACTCACCCTTGCTTTTTCTTCCTCACCCTTCCTTTCACCAGTTCAACTACCACAGATGCACGCAGGTAACCCTTCAGAAGCTGCTCGTGAGACTCATGGTGCCATCCCCCTGACTCATCATCATTCTCTTCCCCTCTGTTTCTTCCTCCCCTCCTCCCCGTCCTCTTACCCAACCCTCCCTTACACAAGCTACTCGTGAATCTCATGGTGCCGTCCCCTCAGAGGCACCTCAAGGCGCGCTCTCTCTCTTGTTCCCCCCTCCCTCCCCCCGTCCCCCCTGGTTCCCCCTTCCCCTTACCCCAGTTCGTGTACCACAGGGGCACACAAGTAACCCTACACAAGCTGGTGGTGAACCTCATGGTGCCATCCCCTCAGAGGCACCTCAAGGCGCGCCACCCGCGCTTCCACACAGTCTTCCACCGCCTCGTGCACCAGCTGCCGCTCTTCCTCCCACTCGCCCCGCTGCTGCCCAAGCTCGTCGAGCATGATGCACGGTTCCTTGTCCATGAGAAGAAGGTACGGTGCTCGCATGAAGGCTAAGGGGTTAGAACCACTTCACATGTTGTTAGGTCGGCTTGGGACTCGCGCCCCACCCTCCTACTCTCTGTCTTCCACCGCCTCGTGCACCAGCTGCCGCTCTTCCTCCCACTCGCCCCGCTGCTGCCCAAGCTCGTCGAGCACGACGCGTGGTTCCTCGTGCACGAGAAGAAGGTACGGTGCTGGCGCGGCTCTTCTCGCTGGCAGGGGCTTCGGACTTTGTAATCACCATCCTCCCTTTCCCTTCTATGCTGCCCCGGACTTCATTCTGCTCTACTCGTCCTATTCACACTTCAAGCCCCATACGTTACACTCCACACCCCACCCACATTCCATGCCCCACGTCCCCCTGCAGTACCTTCACTCGCTGGCGCTGCACATCCTAGGCGGGGACCCGTCGCGCCGAGCGTTGGTCCTACAGGAGGAGGCGCAGCACCTCATCTTCGTCGAGCGCCTCGTGCAGCCCTTCTTCCAACACTGCTCCCGCCCCAGCCCCGCTCTCTGGCACTCCCTCCGCTCCTCCCACCTCCTCCCCCCTGCTGGCCTCCCTGTTTTCGACAAGAACTGGTGCAGACGGGAGGTGGCGCCTGTGCCTGCTACAGTTGAGGAAGCAGCTGCGGCAGCAGCAGCGGTAGAAGCGGGTGGGGTGGGAGCAGCAGGAGCAGCGGCGGCAGCAAAGTTGGAATCTCTTCCGATTCCGAAGAAGGATTGGGTGGTGATAGACGCACAGCCGCCAGGGGTGTTGGAGTTGGAACGAGCAGCCGAGCATGAAGCTGCCCTGAAAGACAATTTCTGGTTTGGGCGGATACAGCAGCACCTTGCAGGCAAGGGGTTTGACTCCGCGAAAGAGCGTTTTTCCCGGGCAGCTTTACTGGTGACCACGCCGGGCGAGGCGCTTCTGAACATGATTTTCATGCCGCCCGGCTCTACAGTGTTTGAGTACCAGCCGCGGGAATCAGCCACAAATGCCCATCGTGCATTCGCTCATGTTCTCGGTCTCAATTACGCGGCTTATATCTGCAAACGAACCAGGAGAGCTATTGACGAGGATGACCCTGTAACCCTCTACTGCCATCCCATGACAGTCCGACGGTTCTTCACGCACGTGGAATCTGTGGTGTTTCATAGCCCGGTGATACCTGGGGGAGGTGCTACCCGCGCCCTGCTTAACCGAGACTTTATACCCGGTTCTCTGCTCAAGAACAGGGCCGAAGTGAGGAAGTTCAAGAGGTGGGCGGCGTGTGTGGGGAGGCGAGGCACGTGGGTGGAGAATCCTACCCCCCGCAACCTCCCCTGGGACTTCCGAGGGTACAGCAATCAATGCGACGCGAGGAATCGCGCGGAGGGGCGAGGGTTCCTCACCGGGAACGCTGCAGATGCCATGGCAGCAAAGGCAACGGCAAAGGGGGATAGTACAAGCTGGGTGGTTAGCCCACTGTTGAAATATGAATGGGTGGTGGACGACGGGGCTTGTGGTGGCTCGGGGGGCGAGGAGGGGGGCGAAGGAGGAAGAGGAGGAGGTGGAGGAAAGGAGCAGACGAAGAGAAGGAGGCTGGGGGCAGTAGAACCTCTCCCTGTTGTCACACAACATCTGGTTTTTGAGAATTCTCAAGAACCTCTCCCTGCTGTCACACAACAACAGAAACAACGACGGCGACAGCTCAAGAAGGCAGCCGCTTCATCACCACAGAACACCTCCTTTTCCTCCTCCTCCTCTTCCTCCGACTGGCTTCCGTTCGACCCATCGGCGTTCTGCGAGAGGGTGCTGAAGAACAGGCGCATGCTGGTGGTGGGCGACTCGAAGCAGTTCCAGCTCGTCATGTCTCTCGTGAACGCCCTTGCCACGGGCGTGCACAAGCCCGCGTGGGGGCTCATTCAGGAGATTGAGGCTCCGGAGGGGTGTGCTGCTGCTGTGGACAATGACCCGTCTCGGTACCTGCATGACTTTTGTAAAAGGTGAGAGGTAGGGGGTGGTGGACGGAGGACGTATTTTGAGTTGAGTGAAAGCACCTGTCGCTGCTCTAAAAAGTTACCTGTCTCGGTACCTGCACGACTTTTGTAAAAGGTGAGAGGTAGGGGGTGGTGGACGGAGGACGTATTTTGAGTTGAGTGAAAGCACCTGTCGCTGCTCTAAAAAGTTACCTGTCTCGGTACCTGCACGACTTTTGTAAAAGGTGAGAGGTTGGGGGTGGGGGGGGGGAGGGCGTGTTTTGAGTCGACTGAGAGCAATGCTGCTGCTTTGGACAATGACCGGACTCGCTACCTTTGTGACTTCTGTAAAAGGTGAGGGAGAGGGCGGGTGAGGGATGGGGAGGAGGGTGTCAAGATAGTAGGCGAAAACGAGAAATAGGCAAAGAGGGGTTTCACTAGCAGCAGGTAGGATACATATAGGAAACCCTAGTTTGGGTTGTACTCACTATAGAGTATCCCACTGCAGGCTAGACAAACATAACATTCTGACACACCCCCATAGTCAAAGTGGGGTATAATCAGCACAACAAGCAGGCATAGCAATAGTTCACAATGATACGCAAAGCTAGAGACTATCACAGAGGGCAAGTGAGGAGGAGGAAAAACTGTGGGGGCGAGAAGATGGGAGGCGACGGCTGAAGCTGCAGACACACGGGCACCAGGAGTGCGCAGCACTGACGCTACCAGGCTAAACCCGGACTACACGGCGACAGGCGCAGCTGGCTCGCTGTGCTCCCAGGAGTGCTCACACTGTGGCTACCGGGCGCAGAGCCCCGGACTACTCAGGCCACAGCGGGTCGTGGCTCTCTGGACTACCAGGAGTGCTCACACTGTGGCTACCGGGCGCAGAGCCCCGGACTACTCAGGCCACAGGGGGTCGTGGCTCTCTGGACTTCAGGCGCTGCGGACGACAAGACGATTGCCTCCACTCAACTTCCTCCAGCTGTCCCAAAACCCTTTCACACACCCTCTGCTGTACCTCTAGCACTGCTCACACGCCACCCCCCTAGTACCACTCCGACGGCTCCAACACACCCACCCCCCTCAGCGGCAGCTGCAGCAGTGGGAGCCGGAGGAGGAGGAGGAGCAGGGGACGGCGCACACACCTATCACCCCCATACTCGCCACCCCCAAACCCTAAAACAGGAGCGCGGGCAGCAGCAGGGGTGGGGCGCGGTCAGCAGCTCGGGGGACGGCGTGCGCAGGTCGAACGAAACCGCGCGCGGGCCGCCCGGGCCGCGCGCGGACCTGGCGCAGCCCGTACGGGCCGCGCGCGGGCCTGGCGCAGGTCGTACGGGCCGCGCGCGGCCCGCGCGGGGCCGAGGGGCGCTTCGACGGGCGACGGAGGCGTTTCAACGGGCGACGGGGGCGCTTCGACGGGCGACGGGGGGCGCTTCGACGGTGGGAAACCGCCGCGCGCCTCGGGGCGCACAGCGGGCAGAAAACCGCCGAGCTTTCGGAGCGCGCGGCGAGCAGAAAATTGTAGAAACCCTAAAAACGCGGCAGGCTGAAAACGTCACGCGCCCGAGGCTCGCGAGAAGCAGAACAGCAGCGGAAGCATCGGGTGGGCCCACCCACAGGATCGACCCAGGAGGGTCGACCTGCTCTGATAGCATGTCAAGATAGTAGGCGAAAACGAGAAATAGGCAAAGAGGGGTTTCACTAGCAGCAGGTAGGATACATATAGGAAACCCTAGTTTGGGTTGTACTCACTATAGAGTATCCCACTGCAGGCTAGACAAACATAACATTCTGACAGAGGGAGACGAGCAGGGTAGGGGGGAGGGGCTTTTATCGGTGGGTGCTTTGATAGGGTAGGGTGGATCAAGCATGGATCGTTAAGTCCGGTTTGTGTTCTTATGAGCGTTTCCTGATCTTGCTCCTCCCTCGCCATGGTCCCCATTCATTCTTCTTGCTATTTTCTTCTCCCCCTCAACTGCTTCCCCCTCTTCTCTTCTCAACCTCTCTCCCACTCCGTGTACCTCTCCCTCTCGCCCGCCCTCTCCCTGCACACCCCCCATCCCCCCAGCTACATATCCAATGGCACGCTCTGCCAAGGCTTCTAGTAAAACCACATCATATTGTAGGTGCGTTACGAGTCAGCTCAAGATTCGCCCTCTCCTTCTCCCTCTGCGCACCCACCCCCCTGTCCCCTCCCAGCTACATATTCAACGGCACGCTCTGCCCTGGCTTCCAATTAGACTACATGCGAGCGGACCGGCTCTGGATCTTCGACCCACGCCCGCCCGAGTTTGAGTACATGCCGTGGATGCGCTCAGTGCTCTTTCTCTCCTCTCCTCACCCTCCCTTACTCCCGCACTTTCTTCTCTCCCCCCCTCCCCGTTTCTCTCCTCTCCCCTCCTCTCTACCCCCCTCTCCCTCCCCTACCCCCTGCCAGCTACATATTCAACGGCACGCTATGCCCCGGCTTCCAATTAGACTACATCAGAGCAGACCGGCTCTATATCTTCGACCCGCGCCCGCCCGAGTTCGAGTACATGCCGTGGGTGCGTCCATCCCTCTCGCACCTCGCCACCGCCGACATAATCCTCATCAACCGCGGCGCGCACTGGACCGCCACAGAGGATTTTCTGAGCGGCGTGCGCTCCGCGACAAGATACATCCGCCAGAACTTCCCAGATAAGCTCGTGATCTACCGCAACACTCCGCCCGGACACATGGACTGCGCGGGGCGAGAGGCTCCACTGGAACAGCCACAGCCGCAGGAGATCCTGCCGTATTTCTGGAAGGACTTGAAAGAGCAGAATGAGCTGGTGAAGGAGGTGGTGGAGGAGACGGGGAGCGTGTATATGGATGTGGAGGGGATGCTGGCGCTGCGGTGGGATGGGCACAAGGGCGTGGTGCCGGAAAAGAAGAAGCCGGATTGCTTGCACTACTGCCTGCCTGGCCCGTTGGATGTGTATCCGCAGTTCTTGTACAATCTACTCGTCCGTCTTTTGCCGCCGCCGCCACCTGCTAAGTGAATCTGGAGGTAGTTATTCTGTGGTGAAAGTCCTGTGGCTGGAGGTTCTGGTGGTTGTAACCATGTGTACGCCTCGTTATTGGGACATGGTGTCTACATGTTAAGGGTGTACATGTATGGCGTTTCCCATGTATGAATATATGTGCAATTATTAGAACTTGGATGTTTTAAACGTCAACACCCTTCCTTTCCTATATGTGGGCTATCACTTCAACATCCTTCCCATTTGGGGGAAATGACATCATGATAGTGTCGCAAGGGGGCGCGAAGCGAAGATTTGTCACTTTCACGTTCACTCGGGCGCTTTTCCCTTGTGTGTCGTTGTGATCATGTGATGGTTTAAGGTGGCTCCAATCCAAATGCACTAAACTAGAAAGAAACATATTACTACAAGAAACTACTGTTAGAAATGGCTGGCATGGCATGGAAGCCCCAAGTTGCAACCCCAGCAGGGAATATCGCTGGGTAGGGGTGTACCATCCAACCACAGCCTACCACAGCCCCGTTCCTGTCAAGGGCTGCGTTGAGGCCTTGAGGGTGATGCGGTGACTCACGATGTGGCCAGGACCCCACAAAGGAATATATTCTATATTGCCATGCCTATGGGTTTGATTGGGTGGATTGGACTAGGATCAGACAGCAGCAGCAGCAGCAGCAGCAGCAGCAGCAGCTACTGCGGCAGCGATATGTTAACAAAGCGAGAGGGTGAGGAGGCAGAGGAGGAGGCGGAGGAGGGGGCTGGTCACTGGTTAGTAGTAGTTTTCCACTACAGGCTCGGCACTGACAAAATGGGAGTGAGGGGAAGAGGAGGGGGGGGAAAGGGGGTGGGGGAGAAATGGATGAAAAGAGAGGGCGAAGGAGGAGGAACGACAGACATATGACATTGGATAAACCAGTAGTTGCACTCCTACACACAAGGATAAATATATTTCTTCCCTTTAACAAAGAAAAAACACTCCTAACAGTTTCCTTCAGCCCACACGCTCTCTGATCTCTCACCCTCCCCCTTCCTTTCCCACCACACACACAGCACACACTCACGTCAAGTGCTGCTGTGAAACCTCCCACAGCCACCGCCGGATGCACCCCTTCTAATTCTCCGAGAACCACTCCGTCGCATTGCTTGTGCGTGCTGCTGCTGGGGCACACTCGTCTCATGTAATCACGCGTTACATACACTCTCGTATTTCCCATCCCCCCTAACCTTCCCCCGCCCACCCACCACAGCACACACTCACGTCAAGTGCTGCTGTGAAACTTCCCATAGCCATCGCCGGATGCACCCTTTTTGATTCTCCGAGAACCACTCCGTGGCATTCGCGGCCGCCAGCAGCAGCAGCAGCTGGCTGTCAAACCCACAGGGGTCCTCGTAGCGGTACCGCTGCGCGTCGTCGTGGCAGCGCTTCACACTCTCGAAGACCAGGTTGCGGTCGGGACGCGGGTGCGTGGGAGGGCTTGTTAGCCATGTGGAGAGGAGGTGCGCGAGAGGGAGGATGTTGTATCGATGGTATGACTGGATGGGGCCGAGAGGCTGTGCCTGGGAAGGGAGGGAAGGCACAGGGACGGGGATGAAAGAGGGGTGTAAGGTGGGAGAGAGTGAGAAGGAGCTCAGTGGGCGGAGAGTAAGAAGGTATGTAGGTCAAACCCACAGGGGTCCTCGTATCGGTACCGCTGCGCGTCGTCGTGGCAGCGCTTGACGCTCTCAAAGACCAGGTTGTGGTCGGGAATGGGGAGAGTGGTGGAGTTGGTTAGCCATGTGGAGAGGAGGTGCGCGAGAGGCAGGATGTTGTAGCGATGGTACGACTGCATGGGGCCGAGGGGCTGCGCCTGGGGAGAGGGAGGGGAGGCACAGGGACGGGGATGAAAGAGGGGTTCGAGGGAGAGTGAAAAAAACGCGGTGGTGGGAAAGGGAGGGGCGAGAGAGGGAGGATGTTGTAGCAATGGTACGGCTGGATGGGACCCAGTAGTGGAGAAAGTGGAAAGGAAATGCTTCTTGTATATTTGCATGCCTTGTCAGTTACACACCTCCATTCCCACACCCGCTCTCCACACCTGCTTGGCTCGCAGTGACTCCGACACTTCTAGAAACTTCTTGGAAACAGCAAGCTTTTCCTGCAGCAGTGTGGCAATCTGCGCGTCCTTCTCACTGCATTTCTGCGAGCAGACGAGAGAGAGGGCGGGCGGAAACACAAGGAAAAGAAACAGCAAGCGGTGATGGGGACGCAGACATGAGGACCTTGGGTGAGGGCGTCGGCAGGAAAAGTAACGATGACATGTGAGAACACAAGAGAAGAGGAAAAGGGAAAAGTCACGATGCGATGAGAAGAGAGAAGATACAAAACGAGAAGAGACGTGAGATGGGAGAGATGAGATGAGATGAGATGAGATGAGAAGAGAAGAAACGTGATGAGATGCACCCCCCCCCTTCTCCCCCCGCCCTCGGCTGGTTCCTTTATCAGATCATACCCTACACGCTTGACAGGAGGCAGCGTGGGCGGTGAAATGGTCGCGGCGCACGACAGCGCTGCAGTGCGTGCATGCCACCCGCTCCTTGGGACACGTGGCACGGTGTGATCGGTCCTCCGACACCTCCCCCGTCCACCCACACCCCAACGCGTGGTGCACACACCGGATCCGGGACCTGCTGGGATGGAGTGGGGAGCGAGAGGGGGGAGCCAGAGGGGGAGCGAGATGGGGGAGCGAGAGGGGAGGGGGTTGAGGAGACTCGAAGATCATCCCCCGTCCACGCACAGCCAACGGGTGGTGCACACACCGGGTCCTGAACCTGCGGGGATGGAGAGGGGTGCAAGATGAGGGGGGTTGTGGAGCCTCAATTAACGTTTCCTGTCCATCCGCACCCCAACGTGTGGTGCACACACCGGATCCGGGGCCTGCGGAGAAGGGCGCAAGAGGAAGGGCGGAGAGGATAAGGGGAGGAGGAGGAGGGGAGAGAGAGAAGAGGGTTTTGAGGCGCCTCAAGCATCGTCTCCTGCCCATCCTGACCAAAGGATCAAAGAGCTGGAGTCAACAAAGGCACTACCGTCCCAGCAGGCACACGTTTTTCTCAAAAGCCTCTGATCATTGCAGTGAAGGGCCAAGAACGGGCGCGCTCACCTGCCGAGCAGGCGGTAGACGAAGCGGTTGTGGTCCCTGGTCAACCGCAGGTGCGCCCCTGTTGCGGGTTCTGGTGTGTGTGTGTGCCCCACACGGTGGATGGATAAAGTCGCGACGTTGGGAGTCGAGTCTGAACACACAATAACAGGCTCACCTGCCGAGCAGGCGGTACACAAAGCGGTTGCGGTCCCTGGCCAACCGCAGGTGCACGTCCGCGTGTGATGACTCAAAAATAGAGTCAAGCACGCAGCACGAGCGCTCACCTGCCGAGCAGGCGGTACACAAAGCGGTTGTGGTCCCTGGCGAGACGCAGGTGCGCTACTGTGCGCTCAAGTCGAATCTAAACACTCAAGAACAGGCGCGCTCACCTGCCGAGCAGGCGGTAGACGAAGCGGTTGTGGTCCCTGGCCAACCGCAGGTGCGCCTCTGTTATCGGCTGCCGGTCCTGGCGTGCGCGCATGCCAGGAGAAGGGGAGACGGCGGGAGGGGGGACGAGGAAAGGGGAGTGAGGGAGGAAGAGGGAGAGGGGTGGGGTGGAGAGGGGGTGGAGGAAGAATGGGAGGAGGGAGGTGGAGTGGGGTGAGATCATTCCAGGCACTCTCAATTCTGGAAGGTCTTAAACCATTCCAGGCACTCTCAATTCTGGAAGGTCTTAAACCATTCCAGGCACTCTCAATTCTGGAAGGTCTTAAACCATTCCAGGCACTCTCAATTCTGGAAGGTCTTAAACCATTCCAGGCACTCTCAATTCTGGAAGGTCTTAAACCATTCCAGGCACTCTCAATTCTGGAAGGTCTTAAACCATTCCAGGCACTCTCAATTCTGGAAGGTCTTAAACCATTCCAGGCACTCTCAATTCTGGAAGGTCTTAAACCATTCCAGGCACTCTCAATTCTGGAAGGTCTTAAACCATTCCAGGCACTCTCAATTCTGGAAGGTCTTAAACCATTCCAGGCACTCTCAATTCTGGAAGGTCTTAAACCATTCCAGGCACTCTCAATTCTGGAAGGTCTTAAACCATTCCAGGCACTCTCAATTCTGGAAGGTCTTAAACCATTCCAGGCACTCTCAATTCTGGAAGGTCTTAAACCATTCCAGGCACTCTCAATTCTGGAAGGTCTTAAACCATTCCAGGCACTCTCAATTCTGGAAGGTCTTAAACCATTCCAGGCACTCTCAATTCTGGAAGGTCTTAAACCATTCCAGGCACTCTCAATTCTGGAAGGTCTTAAACCATTCCAGGCACTCTCAATTCTGGAAGGTCTTAAACCATTCCAGGCACTCTCAATTCTGGAAGGTCTTAAACCATTCCAGGCACTCTCAATTCTGGAAGGTCTTAAACCATTCCAGGCACTCTCAATTCTGGAAGGTCTTAAACCATTCCAGGCACTCTCAATTCTGGAAGGTCTTAAACCATTCCAGGCACTCTCAATTCTGGAAGGTCTTAAACCATTCCAGGCACTCTCAATTCTGGAAGGTCTTAAACCATTCCAGGCACTCTCAATTCTGGAAGGTCTTAAACCATTCCAGGCACTCTCAATTCTGGAAGGTCTTAAACCATTCCAGGCACTCTCAATTCTGGAAGGTCTTAAACCATTCCAGGCACTCTCAATGCTCTCGGCACTGCTGTCGCGGATAGTGGGCGCGGATAGTGGGCGCGGATAGTGGGCGCGGATAGTGGGCGCGGATAGTGGGCGCGGATAGTGGGCGCGGATAGTGGGTCACGGAACACTTGGCTCTCGTACACGTGGGACACGTGGGAGGACACATGGGACGGGACACATGCAGCCGTGTGCGTGTTGAGACCCCTCTGAATTGGGGAAGGGCCACTGAGCACGTGAATGGACGGATGGACGGACGGACGGACGGACGGACGAATGGATCGATTGGACTGATCGGCCATGTTTGTTTCTAAGGCCGCGTTAGAAGCCTTGCCTGCGGGCATTCGCTGGAGCGCTGCATGGCCTGGTTGATGCACGTCCCGCAGAACACATGCCCGCACTTGGTCACCTGCCGCCATGCCCGCCATGCCATGCCATGCCATGCCACGCCACGCCACGCCACGCCACGCCACGCCACGCCACGCCATGTCATGCCGTGTAATGCCACGACGTATCATGTCATATCATGCGTCATGCCATATCGAGAATTCCCAAATGTTACATATTATAAACTCGGAATTGGTCCTGCATTCTCGGAAATGCTCAGTCACCAGCTAGAGGCAGCGAGGAGAGCGAGATACGCGTGAACACGGGCTATGAGGCAGCGAGACAGCGAGACTACGCGTAACGAGGCTACGGGACCACGAAGCTACGAAGCTACGAGGCTAAGAGACGAGGCTATGAGGCAGAGAGACGGCGAGGCAGCGAGGCTGCGACGCTGCGACGTTGCGACGAAGCGACGCTGCGACGCAGTTGTGAGCGATCCGTGATGCGCGCCGCACCTCGGTGGCGTCAGCGGGGTCAATGAGGTCGTTGCAGATGGGACAGAAGAGCTCTTCGGGCACGCGACTCGGCTCCAACAGCCGGTCCACCGCTATGCCCATGTCGCCCACGACAACGCGCACACCCGCACACACGCGCACACACGCACGCGCCTTCACACCCGCCCACCCCAACGCGCACACCCGCACACGCGCGCGAGAGAGCGTCGACCGTTGCTGAATTGACGCCGCCTCGTTCAATGCGGCCGCTGGCGTTGTCGTTACGAGGACGACTCGGAGATGAAAGCCGCGCGAGACATTTATGGCGCCTCCGGGCTACAACACATAAGGTACACGAACCGCGATGGGTAGTAATACTAGGCAAAACCTGGCACTGGGAGGCTACGTGCCAAGGAGGGAGGTTAGGCAAATCAAGCACTGTCAGAGACGTTGGACCTAGGAAGTGTATATAGCAAGCCAGGTTCAGCAAACTTCTCTCAAGCTGTGCGCTGGGGGGAAAAGGATGTGATAAGATAAGAGGATATGAAAGGTGGTGTGGAGGGGAGGGGAGGGGAGGGGAGGAGAAACATCACGTCACGCTCTCGTCTTGACCGTTTGAACCATATCCCGTTCATACAAACGTTTGTTGTGGATGTGTGTGCCACCAAATGCGCTGTAAAAAAGGTTTCAAATTGCAAGAAACACTTCAATCACCGCGCAAATCTTTGGAGCTTGCGTTGCAAATTCCGCAGTGTGCGAGGGTGTGCTTTTCGTGGGCATCCCAGGTATGGGTGTACTTTTCCCGGGCAACCAGAATCATCAACCACATCTGGCGAGGCGATAGGGACAAGTCACGACCCTTTCCCCCAGAGCAGCAACGAAAATCTACGATGCCAACGATAATGTCGTGGCTCGTTTGTGTTGTGGCAATCGGAGAGGAAGGGTAGCTTCTCGCTTGTAGGTGCAAGTACAGCCATCATCACACTTCTAAATTATGGATACACGCATTATTAACATATGATCAACAAGGCGCTCATAATGAGCAGTTACATGCAGCTCTTCCCACAACGTGAATGCCTTGTAAGCCGCTGATCCTAACCAGGAAGGTGGCACATACAAAAGCTGCCATCTTACACTCAATAAATAAGGCGCATGCCTTTCAAATAGATGTCTGCAACACTTAACTTTCGCAGGGAAGGACCCACTACCGTATATTCTCTTGGCCGTGACAAATCACTCCTTAAAGTAGAGCCTCATAAGCAGCTACATCTTTCTTTGCCTTGGCCTCCTGCTCCCAATAGATATGTGTCTTCGCATCCTTCTTGTACTCCGCAGCTGCAGCTTCAACACCCACCTCAAACTCATGCTGAGCTGTCTTCATACTCTGGAGCAACTCCTCCTCAGCCTTCTTCACCGTATCAAGAAACTTCTTGTATGCTGCAGAAAGAGTCTTCCTCCGGTTCAGAACCTGTTCCGCAACGTCTGTCACATACTTCTCAATATCCTTCTCAAAATCCTCGCTCTTGTCAATCTCCTTTCTCAGCTGGGCCAGGAATTCGTCCTCCTGGAAATCCAACTCCGCTTTCACTTTCCGCGCGGGCTTGTCCGTACTCGCAAGGTACGCAGTCGTCGCCTTTTCTAGAAACACTTCCATCTCCTCCAGCGGCTCGGGGTTTTGCATGCTGGCTATCGAGCCGTTAATGACGTTCTCGTGGAGCTCGAATATTTGAGCCGCTTTCTTCTGGCGCATCCTGAGCGCGTCTGCAAGCTTCTTCTCGTAGACCGCCTTGTCGTCTTCTATCTCGCTTTCCGACATCTTTTGCGTCATATGTAGCCGTTCCCACTGCAACAGGTTGGAAGTTCAAGGGACAGGGTTTACGGGGGAGATAGCTGACGAGAGACATGGTAAAATGGGAGACATGATGAATGGGAGATACGGCCACCAAAGAATAGGGTGGCCAGGGCGAAGTAGAATAAGAGAAACATTCTTGAGTGTTCTTTCAAATGACTTCAAGGTGGAATAAGAAGGAATAGCGAATGTGTTGGCCCATGCCCACCACCAGCAGTTCTGGTTCTATTGATACTCTTCATTAGGAGTTATGGATATACCATGGGCGCTGCCACGACCAATAAATTTGAGCTGAAAGGAATCATGCATGAAAGCTGAAAATTAGCAAGAATACTTGATGGTGGTGGGCGACATGAAAAGAGTTCCTTACTATTGATGGGAACTTGAGCTTGCACTCGAGAACACCTTGCTGCCTGCCATGCCAAAGAAAAACAATCAGCAGGAAAATCGATACAACAGCAGCTTGTGCCCCCTTGCAACGGAGCTAAGGAACTGAGGAGACTGCTACTCCAAGACCAAAAATGCCACCAACAGAAGCACATGGGAACACAGAACGTAGACGTATTTCACAGAAGAAACAACAGGAAGCTAGTCCTGGAGATATCAAAGACAGAAGGACTCGAGAGTGAGCACCAAGCAGCTGCCTTCCAAGTTCCAACCACTGCAGGGAAAGGAATGTAGTGCAATGAAAGTGGTTCTGATCTGTTCTTACTTCCCCTCTGCTGTCTCTAGCAGCACAGTCTCCACTGCCTCGCCCAACTCCCGTGCCCTTGAGAAGTCCACCCTGGCCCACCGCCACGAAAACAAGAGAGGCGTTTTGGAAAAAGAGTGAGAAGTAAAAAAAAAACAGCGGGGAGGAGAAGGAGCTGCAAGAACTAGAACATATCCCCATTGAACTAGAAGCATGGTTTGGAAGGGCTTGAGGCAGGGGTTCCGTTCAAGTGGCCTCCGCAGCTCTGCAAAAGCCAAACCAACCCCTGGCACAGATACAACACGCATGTCCAGCCCCCGCGTGCATACTGACTTGCCAGTGCCAATGAGCTCGCCATTGGAAAGAACCCTCTCGTGCAAAACGGTGAGCGAGATGACGGGGCTTGTACCGACCGCAAAGGAGAATGTCTCGTTCCACTTCGGGTTTGTACCGCCGTCTGTAAACCAGGGGAGAGTAAGGCGGTAGGGTGGGGGGGAGGAGGGGGGGGAGACCAATGGCGAATGATTGGAGAGGGGGTTGTTTGGGGTCGGGAAGGGGAGGATGAGGAGGGGGAGCGATGGAACGGATAGTGGGGACGTGCGGAGAAACACACTGGAAAAATGAGAAATGATTTAAGGGAAGAGATGCTTGCCACCTGTTCACGTGGTAACCAGGGTGACGTCAGGGCGTTACACTACCATCCCCTCGTGCATTGCCAGGCAAACCCTATTCTGACATTCCAAGACCGCATTTCAAGCGTTATTGAAGTATTTTCACACGACAGATTCCCCAGACAGCACTTCTTTATTGCCTATCGCTCTTACCCCCATACGTCGAAAATGAACTCACCACGACCACTGCACAGCGCAATACAGTCCATACCTTTATCCGCGTAATCAGCAACCCTTTCGAAACGCCTTGAAGGTGGCACGATGTTTGCGACGCCTAAAAATTGCAACCCGTATCGACCTTATCACTAACCTAACCAATCGATATTCTCGGCTCCCGCAGTTCCACACTTCTCGAGAGTTCAGCTTCCCCGCTGCCCCACTCGAGGACTTACTCTTGTCGGTCTTGGTGCGAAGGTCGATATCGTTGTATTTAATAGTCGCATACGGGTCCTGAATACTTCCTATTTTCCATATCTGCACGTCTGGCAGACCGCTTGCCCGAATGACTGTCGGAAGGGGCAACGGGGAGACAGTAGATCACTGAAATCAATGCGTCTGAATCGGTTCACGTGATAGTGAGGAAGAAGCAATGCGAATGGGGAAAACGAATTGTGATATTTGTTTCCTAATGTCTTACGGTTTCTCGACTACTCCTAAACGCTTACTGGTCAACTCGAGTTTGTTATCATCCATTCGCACGAGCGCTCGGCGACAGCAACAGCACGGATAGTTGCCACGAGTTACTAATATTTCAGGGAACCGCGGATCTGCCCCAGAGAACCAACGGTCCTCTAATCAAGAAACGTGTGGGCGGGGGATGTCAAGTACAGTAGCGAAAAGTGATTTGAAATGCGGGGGATACCAGGTTAGAGTCCGAACGAACTGTTTGCGACGAAAAACGAACTTCCCATACACCGGAAACCAGCTTGCGACGATTTTCTGCGATGTCCCATTTGCCCGCTTCAGAGTGTGTCGATCGAAAGTGTTGATAAAGGTCGGACCCAAGCTGAACCAAATTTGATCAGGGTATTTAGGACGCGTCACCCCTTACGTCAGGAGGGCGATTGATCGTGCTCACGATCGATGTCAGGTATACAGTGCTTCCGCGATTTGGCGAAGTACAAGGTTTCCAGGTTTCGGGAAAATTCGTGAATGTACAATAAATTGGTCACGAAGGAGGTGTCTGTAAGGAATTTTCCCGATCGGGGTTGACTGCTTCGCGTACAACCCGATTTTCGGACTTTGCACGTTCGGCCGATTTCAACGCTGCCGAGGCTCCTCGCGTCGCCTTCGGCATTTCCCATCGCCAAACCTGCACCCAACCTCGCTCGTCCGAGGTTCCCTCCTAGCTAGGCTAGCCCTACATTAGTCTGTGCATTCATTGTATTCTCAGTTCATTCAGTCACAGCCTCGTTATTCGTTTACCTGCGCACTCTCTTTTACAACTCATAATAGTGTCACCGAGGGCTCAAGCAATCGATGTGCCTAAAGTCGGCAAGCCCAATTATGGTGAAAATTTTGCCCATAAATTTTCGATCTTGTCACATGTGGCTCAGTGGAGCACCGCGATCGGAATATTGCATTTGGGCAAACCGATGTGCACACCGTCGTGGCGGGATCGGTGCTCAATACTGTTTCTGCCTCGATCCTGCCTTTTTGGAAAGCGGTGACACGCCCTTATGAGTAGTCCATCCTGAGGACGCGGCACCTGTTTTGACTTTGCCAGGATCGATCGTAGGTTGGGATCGATGTGCCGCTTGTACAGTGTATTGACGACGTCGCCATTGACTGGTCCGTTTTTCGGAGAACGTCAAGAATGTACAGTAAAAGGGTACTCAAAATGGTGGCACCTGCAGCTCGCACCTAACATTGTATGGAATGTTTTTCGCACATTCTATGCGGGATTTACATTGTTGCATCTGCTGCGATCAGAAGTTGATCGTGGCCTAGGATCTACTCAGGAAGGTTCGCACGTAGTGAGATAGTTTGGTGGGCCCTTGACCTCAATAGCAGAGTGAATGTAAAATGCTTGAGATAATAAAAACATGCAAACAAGGTGATATAAATAAGAGTACAATGGAATACGAAAAGACCTAACTAGCCATGTACTCTAAGGGGTACATTCCCTTATTTAAATACATCCCAACCGTGCGGCGCGTACAGTTTCGTAACTGTTCCCGCCAAAACCACCTTGCCTGCAGCTGCCCGATGCCGTCTGCTCCGACGGTCCAGATGCGTCCCAACTGTCTGACGCTTCGAGTCAATTCCAACCGTCTGACGCTTCGCGTTCATTCTCGTTACTGCGTGCTCCTTTTGCTGTGGTGAGGAGTGCACAGTAATATCAAATATTACTATTCGTAACACCCCCCTTCACTCCTGGCCGTAGCTCGACTTGACCTGCTTGACCACGCCACTGAGTTCGGAGCAGTGCTGATACTGCTGACGTGGCAGTCGCTTCGTGAGGAAGTCTGCTGCCATGTCACCGGTCGGGCAGTAGGTCAAGTTGACCTTGCCCTTGTCCACCTCGTCCTTCACAAAGAAGTACCGCAGCGCGATGTGCTTGGTGCGGTTGACGAAACCAGGTTTGTTCGCGATACGAATCGCGCTCTGGTTGTCGCAGTGAAGGCGGAAGGTCGGCGAAGTCGGAATTTTCGCCTCTTGCAGGAGTTCCTGCAGGTAGAGGCCTTCGCGAACTGCTGCGGTTGCTGCGATGAATTCCGCTTCGGCTGATGACAGGGCAACCAATTCCTGCTTCTGTGAATTCCAGGAGATTGGTCCCGATGGCTCGAGTCGGAACAGGAAGCCGGTCCTGGACCGTCGATTATCAGGGTCTGCTGCGTGATCGGCGTCCACGTAGCCGATGAGGTTGAAGGATGGAGTTGGTGCAGTTGAGTAGCACAATCCAATTTTGGGCGTTGAAACGAAAAATTGAAGAGCGCGCTGCAGGTCCAGAAGATTCTCAGCCGTTGGTTTGCGGGAGTACTGCGCAAGCTGACTTGCGATGTACGAGAGATCTGGCCTGCAGGTGACAGAGGCGAAGAGGAGGCATCCCAACTGCTGCTGGTAAGTCTGAATCCCAGCAGGGGACAGGGCTTTGTTGTCGGGTTTGTGGTTCGGTCCGGGGGTGCGATAGGGAGTTGAGAGAGATGCCGGTGAAATGTTGAACCGCTTCCCTAACTCCTCTGCGTACTTAGCCGCTGAAAGGTGAATGGCCTCAGGCGCGTAGGAGATGTTGAGGCCCAGGAACTGCTTCACCTCGTAGTTGCACGTGATGTCGACGCGCCCCGCCAAGGCCTTCTCGAACTGCTCGAGAAGCTCGTTGTTTGATCCTGTGTAGAGCAGGTCGTCGACGTACACGGTGAGGAGAATGTATTCGCCGCGGAAGTCGCGGCGGTACATCCCTGGATCATGCGGCATCTGCTTGAACCCGATTTCAAGCAGAATGTTGTGCAGGTACTGCTGCCACAGCCTCGGTGCCTGTTTGATGCCGTAGAGTGACTTTCGCAGCTGACACACACGCGAATCCCCTTCGCCGTAGGTGTGTGGCTGCTCCACGTAGATCACGGCGTCCACTAACGCGTACAGGAACGCGTTCTTCACGTCGATTTGACGGAGTGGCAGGTGCCTTGCAGCTGCGATGGCGAGCAGGATGCGGACGGAGGTGTGGCGGCTGACTGGGGCAAATGTCTGGTCGAAGTCGATCCCATGCCTCTGGTCATAGCCGCGAACCACTTAGCGCGCCTTGAAGCGCTCCATCGTTCCATCCGCCGTGGTCTTCACGCGGAAGACCCACTTCCCCGAGAGAATTCTTGCGCCCTTGATTGCTGCGCGGTCAACGAGCACCCAGGTGTCGCGTGACTCCAGTGCCTTGATTTCCGCGTCCATCGCCTCACGCCACTCCTTGCTGTGTGGTCCAGAGAGAGCCTCGCGCGGATTTCGGGGCTCGATGATGCGCGGCGCTTTCGAGGTTGCAGCGTGAAGCCCGAGCAGCTGCAGCCCCGAGACGGTGCTATCGTGACGACGTTGCGGGATGACTTCCTGCACGTCATCGTCGTCGCTTTCAGGTTCAGGTGGTGCTGGTGGTGCTGCGCCTCCGCCGCTTCTTCCTGTTCCGCTTCCGCCTGCTCTGCCTATTCCTCCTCCCGAGGAATCATCGTCGTCGTCGTCGCTGCTGCGCCGATCCTCCCATGCGAACTCGGTCATGGTGTCCTGTTCCAGGAGTGCTGCAGCAGCTTCGTCTTCGGGCGTTGCGTAGCTGTGCCCGTTGTTCGCGTAGACGCGATCCGCGTTTCTCTGCTCGTCGTCGCGGAACTGGTCGAGGAAGAGGCGTTCGTAGAAGATTACGTCGCGGGCATGGGCGGTCTTCTGGCTCAGGAGGTCCAGCACGATCCACGCCTTGTACTCGTGGCTGATGCCGAGGTGAATTCCCCAGCGCGCGCGGCTGGCGAATTTGCCGATGGTTGACGTTGGCGGGCGGTACTGCACCATGCATCCCCATACGCGCAGCATCGATGTGTCCCCCTTAGTCCCGGTCCACTTGACGTGCGGGGACAGATTGCCGGTGATGGCGGTGGTCGAAAGCAGGTTGTGCACCCGCACGGCGTGGTGCATCGCGTAGGTCCAGTAGATCGGCGGCAATTTCGACTGCTTCATGAGTGCGCGCACCTTTGTCATTAGCGTGCGGTTCGTCCGCTCAGCTACGCCTTGCTGCTGGTGTGCGTAGGGGAGAGAGATGTGGTGCTCGATTCCTTTTTGCGCCAGGAAGGTTTGCATCTGGTTGCTCCTGAACTCTGCCGCGCCGTCAGATTGCCAGATTTTGAGCTTCTTCCCAGATTGCCGTTCCGCGTGCGCCAGCCAGAGGCGAAATACCTCGTAGGCTCTGTCGCGGGTCTCCACGTTCACGACCCATACGTAGCGCGTTCCGGCGTCGATGAAGGTAAGGGTGTATAACTCGTCCTCGACTCCACAGTGCCCCACGTTCAGGAAGTCGCTGTACACCTTGTGTAGCTTGGGGTAGCGATTCGTTCCTGGTTCGAGCAGCGGGAACGGTTGGTGGCTTAGCGCAGCTTCGGGGCAGACGGTGCAGTTGCGTGGATGTATTCCGCCACTCACTTCGGAGCCATCAGGGCGCAGGAGTGCGCCAGGGGCGAAGACGCCAGCTTCGATGCAGTTTTTTAGCGTCGCGTGGGAAGGATGTCCGAGGCGCTGGTGCCAGAGTGCATCGTCAGCGCGAAAGCCGGAGGTGCGCATGTAGCGCGCGCGTACCTCCTCAGGGTCTTCGTCAGGTGCGGGAGCAGGTTCCGCGGCTTCTTCCTCTGCTTCTTCTTCTTCTCCTGCGGTGGTCAGCATCAACGCCAAGAACTCTCTGTCGCGAATTTCAGAGAGCGGGATGTTGGTCCCAGGGATGGTTTTAGGGACAAGGGTAGGTTGGCGTGGTTCAGGGGCAGGTCCGTAGATAGTGCGACGCGGGGTTGACGGCTCGTTGCCCCAGATAATGGTATCCCACGGGTCGCGATGCGGGGGAATGTCTGCAGGAGGTGGTGCGAGCGCGATGAGGCACGGGGGACGACCAAGAGGAACGACTGCAGGTGCTGCTTCGGTTTCCGCGGCTTCTTCCTCTTCCCCCCCCGTCGTTCTTCGCGGGAAGTGCCCCAGCCGCTATTGCCGGCTCCAGATGCGGTGCCCCATCCGCC